TTCCCTCTAGTCTCACACTGCTAAATTAGGGACGGCTAGTGCAGATAGCCCTAGTGTAGCTTTGCACGAAATTTATAAGAAACAAACAAACATTGACTGATGTCTAGTAGAATTGAAATTATAAAACAACTTTGATTTATTTATGCTTGCTGTCATTTGTAATGAAGGTATGTATTTTAATCAGATTTTACAGTATATGCCTGGAACAATAAATTTAATGTTTTTGTGCCCTTTACTGTTCATCCGTGAAGAAGGAATATCTCTCTTTCTAAATTGTGAGGAATTGGACGTGTAATTGTGATTTATTTACATTTTTTTTTATCCAGTACTTTTCAAGCAGATATGAATGGACTTTATGTAGTTCATATAAGCTTATGTGTATTCTGTATACTTCTACCATTGACTTTACAGGCATTATCTTATTTCATAACCTTCATTTGTGCACAACTATATCGAGCATCAATGTTATTCTGAGATTTGTTCAGTGAATTACATGTAATGACGTTTTGGATGTTGTTGCATTTAGAACCCATTATGTTCCATATGATCACATTTACTGACACACACACAAATTGATAGCTGCGTAACTTGGCCTGTTATTACTTGTCTTTGTCACTGCGAAGCCATGAGAGAAACAATTTTAGAGTTTCAATATGTGACACTTAAAATATGTGTATTAAAACAAGAGTGAAATCTATACTAATTTTAATGTGATCCATGGTGTGATGTGGGGGGTAATGTAGCTCAGTGGTTTCACACTTTGGACTCGTAGCTGAATGATTGTTCCTTCTGCCTAGCAGAATGTTAGCTGGAAGCTAACCCCCGATAGACTAGCATAACATCCATAGTGAATAAGCTACCATTCTCATCCACTTCAAACCAGAATTCATTAGCACTGATCGTATGTGCCTTGTTAAGATTTAACTTTAACATGGTGCTATCTTACCTTAAAATGGCTGTGTAGATATAGTAATATATATTTATTTATTTGTTTCTTAACATATGCATTCTTACTTATTCCAAAAATTTGAACATCAGGAGAGAATATCAGATATCCTCAAGTAAAAGTAACCAAGCTGTTTTTGGAAAACTTTCTCCAGATGATCACTACATTGGTTTTTTCCATTTATTTTGACAAAGTATATTTAAAAGTAAAAGCCATTACTGTTAACTGCCATTTCTGGTGTGCATAAATCAAGCAGGTGTTTGTTTTGCCGAGCTTAGAAAATGTCCAGGCTGTTACAGAACATGAAGAAAAACTAAATGCCAAGTTCTAGGCCCATTAAGTTTATTTTAACTTTTATTTGATTTCTTGTGAGATTTTATCCTTGAGCTCTTGTTGAGTTATGAGGAATAGTTAACTATTTCCAAACATAATTGAGTTAAAAAACCCCAAGATGTATCTACAGTGCCTTGTAAAAGTATTCACCCTTCTTTAAAGTTTCCACATTTTGTTGCCATCTGAGTTTGCAATCATGAAACTTTCAAATGG